ACTGGATGCAAGAGGACAAGATCAACAGCTTATCATCCTCAAACTAATGGAATTGTGGAACGCTGGCACCGATCTCTTAAAACCGCAATTATGTGCCACGGAATCAAAAACTGGGTCGATGTTTTGCCAACAGTCTTGCTTGGTCTAAGAACAGCTTATAAAGAAGATCTTAAAGCTTCAACAGCTGAACTTGTTTATGGAACTACACTCCGAATTCCGGGAGAATTCATTCATTCCAATTTAGACGCTCCTCTTCCTGAAGTTTTTGTTGAACGCTTCAGAGAACATATGCAAAAGTTAAGACCTGTTCCTACTTCTCATCATGTTAAACCTTGTTTCTTTGTTCATAAAGATTTGCAAACTTGTTCACATGTTTTCGTTCGAGAGGATGCTGTTAAACGTCCACTGGTTCCGCCTTATCGGGGCCCTTTTGAGGTAGCAGCCCGACCTGAAGGCGCCAGCTACTTTTCTGTTAAAGTGGATAAAAAAATTATTAACATTTCAATTGATAGGTTAAAACCTGCTTTTATAATCTTCGATCGTGGCGATCCTGAGTTTTTGTCCTCAGATACAACTTCACAGTCACCTTTTCAAGTCGGTCAAAGCCTTTCATCTCCGGATCCTTTTCCCTGCTCTGCCACATCTCAACCCGGAACTTCAAATTATTCAACACTTCGTTCAGTGAACCCAAAAGTCAAGACCTATCCGCCTGCAAAGAAGAGAGTCCACTTTGCAGTAACTTCTACTCTCGGGGGGGAGTATTGTGGCGGCCCGGCCGTTGTCGATAAGGAAGATTGAAGATTATTCTCATCGCCACCCTTTTTTTTTTTTTTTTTTATATATATATATATATATATATGAAATAAGTTATCCACATTGGTGACCCCGACATGATCAAAGAAGGAAAAATCGACGTGATATTTTAAAAAAGAAAAACAATCCGCAACAATTTTGAAAACAACAAGGAAGAAGGAACTTTAATTTACTCGGAAGAAGAAATGTTTTCCATCGTCAGTCATCCTAGAACAGCAGCGTATACGACTGCATCGGCTTGAGCAACACGTTCGCCTCACTCAAATAAGCAGAAGAATTGGTCGCAGACGCCTTACAACACATTACGCATCATTCAAGACGCACCGGGACATACACGGCTGAATCTCATCCCGTGGTTTCTTCACATTGAACAGGATGGAAGTGATGGCACCATTCCCCTCGCACTCATGGCGACGTTACTCCAGAGGTTGTACATTCTCAATTAAGTCAGCAACGGGCCAAATACAACCAATCTCTGACGTTACTCATTGTCCCGCATCTAAAGCACGATCCTACTAGAATGCCTTTCGGTCGAGTCCACTAGTTGTAACCAGGCGAAACGCTCTCTCCCTCCTCTTTCCTTTTGTATTGAATGTCCAATAATCAGGATGAGGATCAACTACAGAGAGCAGTCTTAATTCTTCTAGAGCTCTTTACAGCAACATATCATGCAGCAGCCCCAATTGCAGCAGTAGAGCAACATATCATGCGTCTACGCAGGCACGGACCTACAAGGACCTCATTTGCGACCAGAAATCGTAACCCCTCTCCTAGGGTGACCATTGACGACACTTGATCAAGCCTCAACTTTAGACGTTTCCTGAAGAATCCTTTCTAAAAAAAAAAAACGTGGCGATGAGAATAATCTTCAATCTTCCTTATCGACAACGGCCGGGCCGCCACACGCTTGTAGCGGAATTATTCGAAAAGAAGGATAAATAACCAGCACGTGTTGCGAGTGTTACGTTTCCCGTAGCGGTTTTAGGGAGATTCTGGGGAAAAGGTTCCAGGAACGTGGATGGGCTGACCGTGGAGTGTAGAAACACTCTGCTTGGTGCGCGCCAAAACTAAAACTTCTTACTTTCGAATGATAGGTTTTAATAAAACATCAAGATTGAACGGAGTCAAGAATTGTTCTGCTCTGTATTTCAAAAACGCGTTACAAGGTAAGTTCGCGGAGACGTAGCGTGGGGGTTGTTTTACATGATTGGTGGAGGGCCGTAACAAGAATGGTTGTTTTGGTTGGCCGAATTTGTAGCGGGGAGTTCGAGGTGGCCGCCCGCTTGTGACGTAGCGATTTTTTGGGGAAAACCCCGAGGTTTTTCCAAGGTTTTTCTACCTTCGGCTGGTCGGCGTCGATGTTTCTCGTTTGGGACCGTTAACCGCGGCAAGCAATAAAGTTAACGGCAACAACCGTACCTTAGGGCGACGGTGAGTAAAGAAACTTATTATCGGTAATAAACACGGGGAAAACTGTGACTTGAAAGGAAGTTGTTATCGTTCTTTTTGCCTCTTTTAAGAGGTGTCCGTGTATCGATGTTACGAGAACCTTCGACACACAGAGACCTTCGGCAATTGATTTTCAAGGAATGGGTTTGAGTTTGGAAAATTATCAAAGGCGGAAAATGGGACGTTAGCAAGAAAATTAGATGTATTTAGCTAATGAAAATATATCACAATTTATTTATTGATGAGAGCAGAAATGAATTCAATATTTAACGTTGTTCTGATCGCTTATTGACAAGAATTTTCTATACATACATTGCCAAAGTTTGACTCATATAAGAAACGTACATTCCGAACAGACAATCGTGATAGACAGCAAAACCACCGGTAAACGCGTCGCGTTTCGTGAAGTCGAATGGCGAGGGGACTTTGAAAAACAATATTACAGCTCGCATATAAGACGACTTTACATAACGGCGAAGTTTGAATTTAACGCTTTATAAAATCAGTAAATAAAGGAAATCTCTTAGATTCGACTCGCTCACGTCTCTTATTGTTGGCACTTGTAAAAATAATTGTGGATACCTGGTCCGGCAAATTATTTACAATCCTTCAAATAAGATTTAAGATCATTGGAAAATATAATCCAGGAGGCAGTGACTCGCAGGAATATTTCCACGTCTTGAGCGTATGATTGTAAGGGAGTTGACACAATCGTTTATAAATTGTTGTATAAATGAAACAGAGGAAAGATCTGTGTGAGGGACTGTGTCCCGCAAACAGATTTCGCCGTTATCAAATACCAACAATTGTTATTTGAAAATAAAAGAAAGAGAGGAGAATATATATATAGATATTGATAGATATACAGGGTGTCCCAGAACTGGGGTAGGAACGGAAGAGGGATGATTGGTGAGATCATTCTAAATAACTTTTTCCTTTGCCAAAATGTTGATTAAGGCTTCGTTTTCGAGTTATTAACGAAAAACACTGGCCAATCAGAGCGCGCCGTTAGCGCGGGCCGAACCACGAGGGTGTTGGGTATGTTCCGCGCGGTCGTGATCAAGTGCCTCGGCACTACGTCGGGATGATATTAAAGCGCGGAGTCACGTATACACAGGTCAAAGTCCAAACACTTCCGGTAGTAAAAGTACATGTAGAAAAAGTTGCTACATCAGTAGTTTTCAGATATAAATACTGGCGTGCCGAGCAGAGCAAGCTCACTTCGATTCTGATCGTAGTCCGACACGAATCTATGATACGATTATCGCATAGAATTCACTAGCGTAGATTCTTTTGTCGGCAAAGCGGCAAAGGTTCCACGACGGACCCGGAGCGCTCAACTACCGGTTCGCAGCGGTTCTCACACGTGTCTGGTTCGCAACCAAGCTTAACGAGCGACCGAAAGCGGAAGCTCCTTGGATGCGACTTATTAGTACACTGGCTCTAGAGTGTCAACACCGTCCTGCAGTGTTCGCTACCAAGTTTAACGAGCGAGCGTAAGCAGAAGCTCCTTCTATGCGGCCTATCAGCTACGGCTAAGTTACCTAGAAATCGTTCTGCGGCCGATCGAGCTACAGTAAAAGCTGGATATATGCAACAAAAGTTTGGCTGGATATATGCAACATCGCTATCCCCTCCACTTGGGGGGATCCCCCTAAGCCGAACCGAGCCGCTCGGCGAGGAAACCGTGTAATATGATCCGACTGTAGTATCGGTGTGACTAATACTAATTGAACGATAAAACTTTTTTATTTTTAACTTTTTCTAAATGAAACTTTTACAAACGCATTTGTGAGATTTTTCTGATTAAAATGGTACCAAACATGATATGATTTGAAGTACATTTATTTATTAAAATAATAATAAAACTGTACATATGTATAAGGCAGGCCGTACACCAAAGATACATCAAACACGCAACATGCAACATGCAACACGTCGCATGTTGTGTACGAACGTAGAATAGGTATCGCGGCACGGTACAAACGATTTGTACGAACGTAGAATAGGTATCGCGGCACGGTACAAACGATTTGTACGGACGTAGAATCGATACCAAAACTGGATATATGCAACGTTTAAATGCCCAGAATCGACACCTCAGCTGGATATATGCAACGTTTAAATGCCCAGAATCGACACTTCGGCTGGATATATGCAACGTTTGAAACCCGAGCCGACACCGCAACCGGTTTTCATTTCCAATCCTCCTTTGCTTTTCGCCAACTTTTAACATCAATTTTAGCAAGTAATTATAATTCAAACTATATCGTGTTTGGTACCACTTTAATCACAAAAATCTCACCAATGCGCTAGTAAAAGTTTCATTAAAAAAAAGTCAAAAATAAAAAAGTTCTTTGATTCAATTAGTATTAGTCACACCGATACGTTTCGGCTCTTTTCTTTGATCATCGGACCTCTCTCTTTCTGCCACTGTCTGTCCTTTTCTACGTTCACGCTTGGCTGCTCGTCGCGTGTAACCCGAGATTCGACACCTGGACTGGATATATGCAACGTCTGGGTCCCAATGTTTGTTGCAAATATCCAGCTTTTACTGTACCTCCTACAATATCAGAACGGATCCTAGCCAATTGTCCGACAATCGATCATCTTATTTAAATTATATTATTTTATAAATTCAAGTTATAGATTTAGAGTTTTCATAATCGTGTCTACCTGTCGATGGCCACAACATCTCTGTATATCAATTGACGAAGAATTGCCTTAATGCAAGGGGCATGATTTCACCGAACGCCGAATACAGCCTAGTCGAATTAATTAAAAATAAATTATATGGACAAGCTTCGAGAGTAGTATTGAGCGGAGACTACAATACTATCGAACAACTGATTACGGTGTTGAAATCACGTTTTGCTCCGTTATACTCATCAATACAATTATACGGAGACATGTCGAAAATGGCTCAGATGCCGAACGAAGCAGTCGTCGACTATAGCAGCCGAGTGTCCAGTATTTTGCTGCCAATTCAGAACTGCAACGAAATCGAAGTTCCTGAACATATGTATCTGCAGAAGCCCATGCTGTCAAGGCATTTCTGACTGGGATAAAACCAGAAATCTTCAGTCAAATGCGAAATTGCGAATTCAACACCTTGGATGAAGCAGCAATCAGTACAGCTATTAAAGGCGAAGCAGAGTACAAAGAAAACATGATGAGGATGAAATTAACCGAGGGATATACCCAGGCCGTTCAATGCAGCAACTGTGTTGGATACGGCCACAGTACTAACACCTGTAGTAGCCGTTCATTTCAAAGGCAGCAGGTATCGTCAATTCAATGGCAGCCAAGATATTGCCAGCATTGCCAGCGCCCGGGACACACAATTCAAAATTGCTGGTTCAACAATAACAACTTCAACAACTACAACAACAACAATTATAATAATTACAACAATTATAATCAACAAAGAAATCAATGGATACAACCAAACCGGGTTCCACAAAACCAAACCCCGTGAACCAGCGGCAAAACATAGGTCGGAATCCAACAAACCAACGCCAAGGAACGGGACAACTACCGGCTTTTCAACATCCGGCAAATCAACCTTCGGCAAATCCGACTTTTCAACCCCCAGTAAATCAACCTCCTAATAACTGGTACCAAGGCACCGCAAACTGGAGAAGGCAACCTCCAATATGCGCTTATTGCCAAAGCATTGACCATACTATTGAGCAATGCAGAAAGAAAATGTATCAAGAGAAGATTAAAAGCCAACCGCAACAACCTACAACTCAGGAACCACAGATACGTAAAGAAACGAACCTGTGTCTAAAAGCAAATTACGCAGAAAAGCCTCCGAGCATTAAACTCATGAGTGAAAACTTTCACCAAGGAGTAGCATCACTAACGATAGACACTGGATCAGATATAAATATTATAAAAAAACATATTATATCAAATAAAGCAATAATTAATACAAATATCATCTTCGAATTAAACGGAATAACAGAAGGCTATCTTTCAACCCTAGGATACATCGAAGTAAAAGCGCTGGATACAGAGTCCATATTCCATGTTGTGGAGGATCTTCCAATAGCGCACGATGGAATACTAGGAACGGAATTCTTCAAAAATAGCGGAGCGAACACTGACTACGCCAAATCTATGCTTATAGTCAATAATTATATTATACCATTCCAAGAACCATTAATCACAATACCATCAAGGACTAGGACAACAATACCTATTAAAGTAAAAAATATGGAAGAAAAGACAGGCTTTATACCAAAAATTGAGATACACCCACAATTGTACATGGGAAACGCCGTAGTAACAAACAGAACTGGCATAGCCTTCCTTCATGCAACAAATGTCTCTTCTGAAGACATCAAAATTCAAATGCCTACTGTTCAATTAGAACCATATGAAGAAATTAAAATAGAAGAAGAAGAAGAAGAAGCACCATCAGACTCTACCAAACGCATCACTACACTATTTACGTCACTTCGCCTGGAACATTTAAACAAAGAAGAAAAATCAAGCATAAAAAATTTAATTTCAAACAACGCTGACATATTCTATTTGAACGAAGATGAACTTGGAGCAACAAACAAAATTTTCCATCGAATAATCACAACTGACGAAGTACCAGTTAATATAAAACAGTATAGATACCCGTAACCATTAAAAGAAGAAGTAAATAGACAAGTAAATGAATTATTAGAAAAGGATATCATCGAACATTCATCATCACCTTACAATTCTCCAATCTGGATAGTTCCAAAAAAGGAAAATACACAAGGAAACAAATCATGGAGATTAGTCATCGACTTCAGAAAATTAAATGAAAAAACCATTAGCGACGCATATCCCTTGCCAAACCTAGTCGACATTTTAGATCAATTGGGAAGCGCAAATTACTTCTCAATATTCGACTTCAAGTCTAGCTTCCACCAGATACCCATGCATCTAGACGATAAGCACAAGACAGCTTTTTCAACACCATTTGGACACTTCCAATTCAAGAGAATGCCATTTGGTTTAAAGAACGCTGCAGGTTCATTCCAGAGGCTTATGAACAACGTTCTGGATGGTCTACAAGGGGTCGAAGCATTCGTGTATATTGACGATATAGTAATTTATGCTAGCTCAATAGAAGAACACGAAACAAAATTCAATAGACTTATGGCAAGACTGAGAGAAGCAAATCTATATCTCCAGCCGGAAAAATACGAGCTACTGAGGAAGGAAGTAGCCTATTTGGGACACATTATCACAGAAGATGGAGTGAAGCCTGACCCGAAGAAAATAGAAGCGGTCAAAGAGTTTCCAGTTCCAAAAACAGTAAAAAATATTAGGCAATTCCTTAGTTTATGCGGATATTATAGAAGATTCATAAAAAGTTTTTCAAAGATAGCTAAACCTCTATCAGATTTGACAAAAAAGGAACAAAAATTTGAATGGACACAGCAGCAACAACAAGCTTTCATCATCCTCAGAGATAAATTATGCGAGGAACCAATTCTTCAATATCCAGATTTCACACAACCTTTCAACATCACCACGGATGCATCTGGAATCGCCGTTGGAGCAGTACTAAGCCAGGGCGAAATTGGAAAAGATCAACCAGTATCATATACTTCAAGAGTGTTAAACAAGGCAGAAACTCAATACTCTGCTACAGAAAGAGAACTATTAGCAGTCGTATACGCCGTAACTCATTTTAGACCCTATATTTACGGAAGAAAATTTTATCTAATAACTGACCACAAACCATTAACGTGGCTGCATAATTTAACAGACCCCGCATTAAGATTAATGCGATTGAAACTAAAATTAAGCGAATACGACTACGAGATCAAATATAAACCCGGAAAACAAAATATAAACGCTGATGCATTATCCTGAAATCCTATAGTTACATTACCAATTCAAGCGAAACGAAAGCACTCTACCACAGATTCAAAAGAAGTTAAAAAGAAGAAACAATGGCACCAGTATGTAACCAGACCTAGAGCAACTACTTCAACTACCGAATCAAGAGAAGTTAAGAGGAAAAAAGAATGGCATCAATATCCAACACGTTCTAGACCATCGACGACATCCAATTCTAGGGAGTACAAAAAGAAAAAGGAAACGCATCAATACCCTACACGTCCTAGACCATCGACGACATCCGATTCTAGGGAATATAAGACAAAAAAGGAAACACATCAACACCCTACAAGACCAAGACCAACGACATCATCAGGTTCCAGAGAAGTCAAAAAGAAGAAAAAAAACCATCAATATCCAACAAGACGCCGAGACACATCTTCAGAACTAAACAGAGAAACAAAAAGAAAAAACCAGTCGCATCAATACACCACATGACAAAGAGATACTTCCTCCGAATCTGAAAGAAGTATTGTAAGAAGAAAAACAACACATCAGCATCCTACACGTCAGCGAGATACTTCCTCTAATTCTGAGAGAAAAACTAAAAAAGAAAAAATTACACAACATTACAAAAGACCACATGAAACCAGCAGCAGGCTGCACCAAACAAATAAAAAACGTCTTAAAAAAAATACCACCTCCAGTGAATCAGAATATCGTGGTACTGATGAATTTCAAGACCAACAACTCAGGAAAAGAAGAAGAGAAACATCGAGCTCTGCAAACAAACAATTTAAAAAGAGAAGACAAAATGGGAAAAAAATCACAGTAGAAATTCATCAACCACCTAAAGAAAAACTGATTTATGAACCTCCTAAACCACTCAAAAGGAAACATGAACCAGTAATAATTGAAGTGATGAAATTGAAGATTTTGAAGAAGGAATAACTCTACCCAAACACACATACAGAGAACCACCCAAAATAGATTCATCTTCAGGAACAGAAAAAGCATCCTCAGAAACAAAAAAAGCATTTTCAGAAACAAAAAAGGCATTGTCAAGAACCAAAGAAGGACTTTCACAGCTGAAAAAGAAAGAAAATAAAAATGATTCAGATAGCACACCAACAGCACCAATAACTCCTATTAAAATTATAAAAGAAGAGGATCAACTTACCACACATAAAATAACACAACCAAGAGTAATCAGTAACCTACCAGTCACATCTAAGATAATAGAGACAACTGACCACCTCTGGATGAAGAAAGGAATTGTGATTGTATTCCTAAATGAAGAAGGGAAACCAATAGACAATCAATCAAGAGAATTTTTACAAAAGGAGAAAATAAAAATACACATACCTCACCAAGAAGAAACTATTATACATCTAAAAAAGAAAAACAAAGAAATATTTGGCCTAGTAACACACTTAAAAGAAGTCCTACCTAAGACACTGAAAATACTTTACCAAGAATTCCATAAAATGAAGATTCAAGAGGGTTCTATACCTGAACTAAAAGAATTACATAAACTCCTACAAGTAATTTTTGCAGATTCAGACATTTCCATCACACTCTGTAAAGGAACCATAATCACGCCACCTAAGGAAGAAAGAAGACACATCATTAAAGAAAACCATGAAAGCCCAGTAGGAGGACATAAAGGAATAAAGAAGACTTACCATAGAATCAGAAATAACTATTATTGGAAAAACATGAAAAAGGAAATCACTGATTATATCAGAACTTGTATTAGCTGTCAAAAAGTAAAATTAGTAAGAATGGAAAATAAAGAACCAATGGTCATCACTGATACCCTTATTGATGCATTTGACAAAGTATCTTTAGATATATTAGGACCATTACCAATAACTACAACAGGAAACAGCTATATACTTACCATCCAGAATAACCTGACCAAATACTCAGCTGCAGTACCCTTAGTATCAACCACATCTGAAGAAGTAGCAAGAGCTTTTACAGAACATTTTATATGCAAATTTGGTAGTCCAAAAGTCATACATGTTTCACAGGATCATTAATGAGAAAATTAGCCAAAGCATTCCAGATCAAAACATATAGAACATCTTCTTTCCATCCACAATCAAATGGATCACTAGAAAGAAGCCATCATGTTTTAATCGAATATTTAAAACATTATATTTCAAAAGAAAAACATTGGAACGAATGGTTACCACAACCAATGTTTTCCTACAACACCTGCATTTCAACATTTTTATACACCACGAACAGGAAGATTATGCTTCCACTGCGCAAGGCAAATACGCCCAGAAATGCGAAGACAATGGATTCATGTGGGAACACACCATTTTATCATTAAAGAGTACGGAATGGAGCAAACACGGAGCATATCCTGCAACTGGGAATATGCAGATTTCCAACCAGTCATCGCATGTAATTCATGCCAAATATCCTTCAGAAATATGGACCAGGATGAACAGGACGCATTCTTTGAAGGAGCGTTGCTTCCATCTGGGCAACCAGAAATAATCTACCTACAAGAGCTATTCCGAGAATAAATATTTAATAAAAATATATATATGGAAAAATAAAGAGAATGTAAAATATATAATTAAAATTATATTTCTAAAAAGCGAACGCCATATTTATTTTCAAAAATTTTCAACTGCAAAAATGGTTCGACGTGCAGGCAAACGCCAACAGTTAAAACGTTTAAAAAAAGCCTTAAAACGAGTCAATGAGGTATAGGTATACTTCTTTCTCTTAACCAATAATTTTACTAATTATTCTCAGTTTTCTCCAAAAGGCTCCAACACAACATGAAGAAAAACAAGTTATACCATGGAGGTTAACCCTAATCGATATTCCAGAATTAAATTGGAAGGTTTTTAAAAAGTTAAACAAAACGGATCCAAGAAGAAGACACGCAAGGATCCTCAAATACTTTGGAAGATTGGCCGCATCCCCCAGGAATGACGAAGAAAAATGCCAATGTTACATCTGCCAACAACGACGATCAACAAAAGAGTCTCTTGAGGACAAGAGACCAACACAGGGGAAAGGCTGTAACATCCCGCAAGAAGAGGAATAAACAAAAAAAAATTCTTATTATTAGTATTTATTAAAACATTTATTTATTTTTCGTTTTTATACAATTAAAATTTGTAACAGTTCGTTTTTTTTATTATTATTGTATTACTATGATTCAGATTAATAATTATATTCATATTCAATAACTAAGAAAAGAATCTTGTATTTATTAATATTTATATTTAACAAAAATTTATACTCCAAAAAATATACATCGATAATTGTCGCGTCGATAAAACTACCGCGTCGATAAAAGATCGACACAGAGCGCATAATAGATAGAGATAGCAATAACGCATAGAAAGAGATAGCAATAGAGCGCAGAATAGAGAGAGATAGCAATAACGTATAGACAGAGACAGCGATGAGCGCGGAGTCACGTACACTCCGGTCGAAGTCCAAACACTTCCGGTTGTCGACCCAGCCTTATCGACACTGCGATCCCAATCTGTCCAGTCCGTCTATCCTTGCCATTTTCCTTTTTCTTATTTATGGATCCGGGCCCTTTTCCATTTTCTCGTCCCACTCTGATAACCGATCGTCCCTACAAGGCCCTTTTTACCTTTCCGTTATTTATGTTTCCTACGTCAGACCCTCGCTAATACAATCTTGATTTCCATTTCCTTTCTTCACGGCTGGACCACCACCCCAGATTCCAGAAACCCCCACCCTTAGTTTTTCCTCCAAAACCTCTATATAAAAAGGGAACAGGAAAAACACAGGCAATCAACTCTAGTTTTAGAACTCTGTCGAACATCGAATCTCTGTCCAATTTCACTGTGTAAACGTTGTAAAAAAAAAAAAAAAAAAGGAGACAAATAAATAAACTTTGCAAAAACTTAAATAAATCGAGCCTTTTGAGTACCTCGACGACACGGTATCAAAAGTACGTGTAGAAAAAACTGCTACGTCAGCAGATCTCTGGCATAAATACGCGCGTGCCGCGCGGAGCTGTTTCATTTCGATTCTGATCGTAGTCTGACACGGGTCTATGGTACGATTATTACATAGATTTTCAGTAGCATAGATTCTTTTGTTGGCAAGGCGGCAAAGGTTCCGCGTCGAACCCAGAGCGCTCGACCACCGGTTCGCAGCGGTTCTCATACGTGTCAGGTTCGCAACCAAGCCTAACAAGCGAGCGAAAGCAGAAGCTGTTGAAATATTGCTTAGGGTACTCTAGGATAATATTTCTATATTGTGAGCAAAAATGCCTAACGTTCAATTTAAACAAAGGCGATAGAAGGACGACCAGATGTATCTGGATTTCGTCACCCAAGTCAAGGAATTGCATCGCCAGGCAGGGCCATAAACGCTTTTGTTTAGAAAAGCGGACCCCAACTTTCTTATGGGAGTCGAGTCACTCGCAGTCAAAATCTTAGAAGAACTAGACGTGTTTTTCGTTCCGTGTAATAAAGTTAGTTTTTCTAAAATAAAACTGAGTAATTTAATCTCCCATAATCCAATAGGTTATGGGCCCAGGTTACGAATACAAACTAATTTTTTTTATTAAGAAACTGTAAAAAAACTATAATTAGTGTAAACAGTGTATTATAGTGTCTAGGCTAAATTGAAACAATTATTAGAAATTACGTCGGAAATTAAGCTATTATTAGTCTAGTGTATTTTTTTTTATTTAGTGCGTAGTGATTTAGTGATTAAAAAATAAGTAAACGTATATAATAATAAATATGGAAAACTTGAAAGTGAAGAGGAACATTAAGCCTTTCGACGGTGAAAGGTATAGTGTGTGGAAGTTGAGAATACGCGCACTAATGAGTGAAATGGACGTAATCAAAGTGATTGATGAAAATGCTCCTGATATGTTGACTGTCGAGTGGATAAAGGCTGAGCGTGTGGCAAAAAAATATTACTGTAGAATACTTATCAGATTCATTTTTGGGCTTTGCATCAACCGGTAGTACCGCGAAGGAGATTTTACAAAGTTTAGATACTATTTA